TTCCCTATACCTCTTTTCCCGGATAATTAGTTAAACATATACAATGGTTTGAAAAAAGCACATGTAAAAATATGACTCTACCACATAATTGTGTGTACCAGTTTAGTAGTTTACATGTAATTTGATCGCACACGTACGAAATGCGTCTACCGCCTTGCGTGTATAAGTTGAACCCACATTATAAAAACTAGCGAGTGTGGAGCAAATGAAATATTGCCCTATATCAGTTAATGAGTAATTACCTACGTGGTTAAGTGTGTTGCATATTAGGAATAATATTTCAACAGCTCGTAACAAAACAGGCATACTTATATCTACGTACTGTTGTTGTTAGGGATTGATGTGGTCAGCCTGCGAGTGACCGCTCGTACAGTGACCTAAGTGAAGAACCCGACCACACACTCACTGCATGGACTGATTAATGATAACCAACGACAGGTGTTGATTTATTTATGTATTACTATGTTATAAACATGTGTTTTCTCTGTAAAGTTAGTTAAAATACAAGGAAACTGCTTCACCCAGTTTTCCGGTTTTAGTTTATGGATATGTTAGAAAATTGCCGATCGTTTGAAAGAAACAAATATTTGATAAATAATAGTTTAGGATTATTTTTTATTCAATATTCGAACTCAAATTTATTTTTGCTGAATTTTGTATTAAAATTACAAATCAAATGTTGTGTAAGGTCGTAATGAGTTTCAACAATAGGTTGCGTAATCAAAAAGACATGGTTATATCATATGAACAGTACTGTTTGTGCGCCTGTGTAACATTCGTTTCGACCACAGGGACATGATAATAAGTCAAAGGATGCATGTTTGGACCTCTCCTGATGGAAAGGGGGTAATATTACACGCTTGAGAGTTTAGATCAGCACTCGGTAAAGCATGCCATCCCATTGCCCATTCTGTATATATACCATTATAGGTGGTTGGTAATTTTACCGAGTGTTTATCTAAATCTTTAAAGTATGGTAATAATCCCAAAAACATTAGAATACGTCCAACCACCTATCCTATAACCTATTATCAGGTCCCTGTGATTTCGACGCGAAACATCTAGATTGTTGTTATCATTTAAAACAACTTAAAAGACCAACTAAGTTGCATTCTGAACTTAATTTCAATTATTCTGCTCAATTGACTTAGTACACTGTACATGTATATGTGCAATTCAATGTTTAATCACGTCTGACTACTTATTTCGTCAATTCAATGTTTAATTACGTCCGACTACTTGTTTCGTCAATTCAATGTTTAATCACGTCTGACTCCTTATTTCGTCAATTCAATGTTCAATCACGTCTTACTACTTATTTCGTCAATTCAATGTTCAATCACGTCTGACTACTTATTTCGTCAATTCAATGTTTAATTACGTCCGACTACTTGTTTCGTCAATTCAATGTTTAATCACGTCTGACTAATTATTTCGTCAATTCAATGTTCAATCACGTCTGACTACTTATTTCGTCAATCCAATGTTTAATCACGTCTTACTACTTATTTCGTCAATCCAATGTTTAATCACGTCTTACTACTTATTTCGTCAATCCAACGTTTAATCACGTCTTACTACTTATTTCGTCAATCCAACGTTTAATCACGTCTTACTACTTATTTCGTCAATCCAATGTTTAATCACGTCTTACTTCTTATTTCGTCAATTCAATGTTCAATCACGTCTTACTCCTTATTTCGTCAATTCAATGTTTAATCACGTCTGACTCCTTATTTCGTCAATTCAATGTTCAATCACGTCTTACTCCTTATTTCGTCAATTCAATGTTTAATCACGTCTGACCACTTATTTCGTCAATTCAATGTTTAATCACGTCTGACTCCTTATTTCGTCAATTCAATGTTCAATCACGTCTTACTCCTTATTTCGTCAATTCAATGTTTAATCACGTCTTACTTCTTATTTCGTCAATTCAATGTTTAATCACGTCTTACTTCTTATTTCGTCAATTCAATGTTTAATCACGTCTTACTACTTATTTCGTCAATCCAATGTTTAATCACGTCTTACTTCTTATTTCGTCAATTCAATGTTTAATCACGTCTTACTTCTTATTTCGTCAATTCAATGTTCAATCACGTCTGACTACTTATTTCGTCAATTCAATGTTCAATCACGTCTTACTCCTTATTTCGTCAATTCAATGTTTAATCACGTCTTACTTCTTATTTCGTCAATTCAATGTTTAATCACGTCTTACTACTTATTTCGTCAATCCAATGTTTAATCACGTCTTACTACTTATTTCGTCAATCCAATGTTTAATCACGTCTTACTTCTTATTTCGTCAATTCAATGTTCAATCACGTCTGACTACTTATTTCGTCAATTCAATGTTTAATTACGTCCGACTACTTGTTTCGTCAATTCAATGTTTAATCACGTCTGACTAATTATTTCGTCAATTCAATGTTCAATCACGTCTGACTACTTATTTCGTCAATCCAATGTTTAATCACGTCTGACTACTTATTTCGTCAATTCAATGTTCAATCACGTCTTACTCCTTATTTCGTCAATTCAATGTTTAATCACGTCTGACTAATTATTTCGTCAATTCAATGTTCAATCACGTCTGACTACTTATTTCGTCAATTCAATGTTCAATCATGTCTTTCTACTTATTTCGTCAATTCAATGTTTAATCACGTGTGACTACTTATTTCGTCAATTCAATGTTTAATCATTTAAAACAACTTAAAAGACCAACTAAGTTGCATTCTGAACTTAATTTCAATTATTCTGCTCAATTGACTTAGTACACTGTACATGTATATGTTTAATTCAATGTTTAATCACGTCTGACTACTTATTTCGTCAATTCAATGTTTAAGAACTACGTTCAGTTAAGGCATCAGATTTACATACACCATACAATTCAATGTTTATTAAGTTTGTAAACTTGAGACGTCTGACTTCTTTTATACCCAATAACACGACAATTACGATAAAGCGAATATTTTCATCCCGTCTTGGTCGAGTCTATAAACAGATCCGACAACAGTGCCAACTATCCGGAATGTCTATCCCAGACGCGTACCGGAGTAGTCACCACACGAAAGTTTTATTACCGCTGCCAAAAAGGCCCCGAAAAGTGTTTATATACGCTGATTTCGTATTTCACGGAGAACTGGCAAGAGTTGACCAACGAGCGAGTCTGTCTGCAAGCGTTCCAAAAGACGATCGTTCATCATTCGCCAGCCAGTATCAATTTCAATCAATCTAAATCCAACGAGGAGCACATGTTTGCGCGTGTATCTCCTGTCGCTATTATACCGTTTGAAGAAGCATCTTTGGTATTTACAGACATAAACTATCTCGTATATGTACATTTTATTAGGCATAGAAAAACCAGTATGAATACTTGGAATATTGCTTGTTGCTTAATTATCGGGATTTTTGCATTTTCCAGTTTAGTTTTAAGAACCGTTTCATCCTGAAAATCCTGTCGTAACAAATTAATCATGCATCTCCCGAATTTCAATTTTGAGCATTCATGACTATTGTCAAATGCTGTTGTACATAACGTCTGCCATACGTCAATAAGCTTCCAAACGTATAGTTGTGATCACGTCTTGTGACGAAGCCCACATAGATACATTACGTCATACACACAAGTGGTAGTCAGTGATATAGTGGGACTCCAGCACAAAGTGACGTTCGAAATGTCAACGATTTTACACGACACCCGCAATACGTACGCGATACAAATACGTATTGACAGCATCACGCACGTGAATAGACAGACTTTTGTCAAAATTTCCGACAACATCCCTCGCGCAAATGGAAGCAAATCATACCCAAAGACAATGGTGTACTTCGTTATTTGCTCAATATGTTTAAGTAAGCGTTGTCGCGCTGACCTCAGCGTACTCTTTAAAAACAAAGACACAGAGTCACTAGTCAACATTTCCTGTCATTCACGGTTTTACACTCAGTCCGGGAAAGCACTAGGCTTTACCGATACATCGCCACCGGAGGTCCGGTTCCTGTGTCTAGCATGTTACCCATTGTTTTAGAAGCACATGCAGATGACACGAACATTTATTGATCACGACCGATATACTATCTCCGCGACATGCACGTCAGACTGCACCTATAGTTGATATACCGTATCGGGGGATTGATATTTATACGGTTTACGAGGGTCGAGGTTGTCATTAAAACTATATTCTCATATTGCTGAGGTGTTCCGTTATGACAAAAGGTGCAATCATTATCGCATGCCACATATACTATAAAAACGATAAGGACAAGATGTGGTTATTTGGACCTCAAATGTGATTTATTGAATTTAAATATTCGATGATAAAAACTGTTGACATATTTATTAATTAATTAAAATCTCTGAAAATAGAGAGAGCAGTCAAAGAATGGATACTAACGGAACAACACTCAAAATATCGTCATGTGAGCAATAACATCCAATATTTATTTAGTGTTATGTCAAGTGAAGTGTATACGACATCAGATGCATGTCACTACCCGTCTGTCTGTTATTTTTTAACGGTCATAAGCGAAACATGAATCTAATATTTATACTGCTGAATTTTGGGAATTGATTGTATTTTCTGATATAAATTTCATACTTGCTGTACAGTCATACATTTAATGAACAAAATGGTAAATAACTTAAAACCAGCGAATCTGTCCTTTTATCTGTCTTTTAGTTCTTTCCTTTATACGCTTTCTTTCCTAGTTGTTTTTTTAGATCAATTACAATGAGTGTACGTATTAACGTTTCGCCGTTTCGCCGTTTCGCCGTTACGTGTTATACAAAAAATATCGTATAATGTCGGGAGGGACCAAATAAGATGTGCGAAATTGCGCCGAATCCTGTTGACTGTCTGTTCCAGTATAAATCAATAATGCTTATTTAAAATAATGGACATTTTTAACGGAATTGTCAATATAGCTTATAAAACATGATAATGTTTGTATTTCTTGCCAATATACCAATGGTATTACCATTGTAGATGCTGTCAGCGATTGTAACCTATTGATGCCTATACGACAAGCGATATGAATTGATCAGAATACGTCACGATATTTTGGCCAGGGAGTGTACAACATTATCAGGTAAGACTATTTTATTGAAATTTTTCGTTAGTATTTGTATAAATGCGCGAACTGCTGACGAAAAGCGATTACATATTGTTTACAACCGTAAAACCGGCAACAAACGACACGGAGACCAGTCACGAACACGAGGACAATGTCGCGTGGTCGTATTAATGCGAGATGTTTTTCCTCGCGATCTAGTCCATTTATACGACCGAAATGTATGACTCGGTGCAATAACTCGTAAATACTGTTAATGTGACCACGTATGACCTTTTTTCTGACTATAAACTCTATGTATTGATTGTGTTACAGCTGTGAAGCAAAGAAACACATATTCAAATTTTAGGTCGATATTCAAAACTTTCACGAAACGTTATCAGATATCCGTCATCCAAGCAGAAATCAATAATTGCAAATAATTTATATTTCACCGTTGTTGACCAAACTTGTAGATCATAAATGATTCGAATTACACATGAATTAGAATAAAATGATGTAAGGTAAGCACATTTTCGCATCCGTGAACGGTTGAGTTTTTTTTGACAATTTGACAACGTTGTTTGTCACACTATTTATGTCTTGGGTAATATTACGCATCTCGTGCCTGGTATCCGGCTCCGCACCCACTTGAAATGATTCGATACTGCTGCTTTTATCCTTGTACAAAAATATTACATTGTCAACACGTGATAGCAAACATCCGGGAACGGGTTCAACTACACTTCAGAATAGAACGCTAGGCACCATAGTCAACTTTGGAAATAAAAATCCTCCATCATGCCAAAAAGTCCCCATGTTCCGGATGCGTTCATCAACTTATATATGTATATCTTATAATTACAAGGCGATTCTTTGTAATTCTTTACCTCAGTCTGGTCAAGTTCCATTTATTCTCACGGGAAGGTTATTTTCCATCAATATTGATTATTCATGTACAGATGGCTTGTGGAATGTTTCCTGTCTATCCAAAATGAATAATGCTCGATGCATGACCTCTTGTTACACACCATTCTGTGTCCAAGAGAACAATAAAATCTTAAAATCTGGAATACCGCTCTTAAAACCATTTCTATCAATAGGATTGCGTTGATTTACCCTACCTTTCCCTAGCCTGCGTTTGTGATGCTGTGGCCTGGTGTGGGGATATTTTATCGATCATCTTATTGCCAGAAGAACTAGCTCTCAAATATAGCTTCGTCTAGCGAACCATTTTCCAAAGCGCCACGGTGATATTCAGAAGAGCGCTTCTACATACATGAACGCCAAGAAGATTAAGTCAATATGACTGTTAGATTAATAGTGTTAACCTTGGGTAATTGGTGCGATTTATGATCAAGATTCGTGCTATTATATCGTAAAGCATTCGTTATCATGTGTAGCTATAAATGATAATTAAAGTAAATAATCCAACCAATTTTCTGAAATTCTATTGTACAGTAGCTTTTAACAGTTTTTTTCCTGTTCAAGTTTTATTTTTACACCCACGCCACACGTATACGTGCGTAACAAGAGGTCACATATTACATAATATACATTGATGGACATAGTACACACATAATATGACACAGGATACAATTTATACAATAACAACCCATTTCAATAATTCTTTTAGCTAACTTATTTTAGATATCAAGAAGCTTCATTACTCTTTGTATAAATTTACTTACTTTTGTTAAAAGTACCGTGTTACATATTGAGAACATTCCTTTCATTTTGAATATATGATAATTCATCTTTACTCAAAACATATATTAATAGGTTGCGTGCATTGTAAGGAAGTAAGAATATGCAAACAATTTTAACAACACAAATACCACGACCGGTAGCGTTGTTGAAAAGCTCAGTACGTAATATTCAAAAGGCATAGGGTTCTTATACTCTTATACCTAGCGGACATGCCTTTGTGAAAAAGGAAATTATAAAAGCTGTTTTTCTTTCGTATATCCCATTCGGCCATAAAATGGACAAGAAATTCAAGTCAGAAAATTTCCTAATGAATTGAAAATGTTTTTGTAGCAGATGCATTACAGAGCTCTGAGACTCTCTACATTAACTTTATTCTAGGCAACCAACTTAAGTAAACAGTATGTGTTACAATGATATAAAAATATCCCTTTCTCTAAATGAACGTAAATACATGTACTTGATTATCGCTTCAGACACTCTGCTATTCCCGACGGCGGATACTTGAATATAAATCCGATTCCAGATGTTCGTGTATTTCCGATTACAGCTAATCGGGTGTTTCCGACGATGTGCGTGCCGTATATCTAGTAGTACATGTGACCCCACACGTACAAATACGTACAAATAGATCATGTTGAAGAGGATAATTGAGTAATCAGCGATAACATATGTAATATTTATATGTCTTTGAAATGAAATCGTGTGCATCTGTGCTCATTAGTCCTGACGCACACGTGCAAAGGTTTGCTGAGCCCACCTACGCTGTACTGCACGCAGCATGCACGCTCGTTAATGCACGTGCATTGAACGGTTATTAATGATGCTCAGTATGGTTCGTTAATCTGCAAACCTCGTCAAAACACTTCATAGCTATATGGAATTAAAAAAAAAGCCAATAACGAACAGCGAATGATTGAATATACCATTGAGATTGTATGGAATCGTTCCAATCCTCTGTTATGTAATGGTTATGCCGACAATACGGCTGCAACGATATGTCGTTTCCTATCGTGTCGCCATACTTTATTGTGCATTGTATTGAATTCATTTGCTTGCCTGTATTGTGATACACTGACAGTTCTTAAATTATCAGTCAATTCTTATTAAACTCTAAAAAAGTGAACTTATATTTGTTTTGATTCCTGCAGTAAAGATGTGGTCCATATGGTGCAGTCATACCCAAACGTACTATGACACACAAATATGTTTCGATAGTACTTATTATTGAAGTCTATGGCAACACTTGACAAAATCCTGCACTCAATCATTATGAAGTTGACCTTTTAGCAGATATTTGTATCGTGATACGTATCGTATCGTAAGCATTGGACCGCGATATGTATCGTATCCTGAGATACATGTATGTGTATCGTAGCAACCCTGGTCGACATATCAATTTATTCTGTTGCACGTCGGGTCAGATTGCGAACAATCCTTTGGTTCTTTGTCGCCTCATTCATGTCCTGATTTCAACATATTTCATTACCGATATACTTAGCAATGGGACTGGGCACAAGTTGAACAACTGATACGAAGCCCTTTCCCATTCATGTCTTCAAAACCCCTTAGGGGCCAGTAACAGGCCTGTCTGGGGTGGTCAACAACAAAATCAAAATGCTTTTCAGTTACGTTCGAGGCAACAAGTTCGGTGAAATGGTATAACAGACCCATAGTTTCCCGAAAATGTTGGTTAGCGATTTGCTTAACGGCTCAGCAACCGTTCAGTTATATCAGGCCTGAAAACAATAATTAGGTGCATTTACACAACTTAATCGTATTACACCAAAACAAATGAAGTGGTAAAAGCATTTGAATAAACAAGTACACAGAAAAATATCAAATATTGATGCTGTATAACTAGTTATTTACGTTTTAAAATTTCATTGTATAGACACATTTTACGTAGATATTCAAATATAAATTGTAGAGAGCAAAGGTTTCATATTAGGTCAGTAACACACTGCACGATTAATAAAAGGCGTTGAGTGATATTAACTTCTGACGTCAAAATAAAGATTTTTGACATGAAGACACGAAATGTGTTTATGACAAAGTTAAATATAGACATTGATATCAAAACACAAGTTTATTTTGGACCATCTTGACGAAACAGTTCTGTAATGTGATGAACAGATTTATATTATGCAAGATTCATAAATCTCATTCTGGTGGTTTCATTTGTGGTTCTATGAACACGGACACTCGCTTTAGACTATATATATCTTGTAGTAGCTACATATGCATTTTCGATATGCAACAAGTTTAATTTATCTTTCTATCCATTTTGGTTTGTCAGACAGGTCTCTTGGTTGATGACGTCATTATAGCAATTGATTGGATGACATCGCGCGACAAGCGTGGATTTAATCTTTTTCCGCTACCTAGCAACAGTCTTTAGTGTCAGTAACGCGATTTAAATAGAAAACTAAACATCCTCTTTACGTACGGGACAAACATAGGCGCTCATGTAGTTACAAAAGGGGCAGCAGAATGATCTGATGAGACAGCAAAACAAAAGGAAATACTTCATGATCCTTTACCCTACTCTCCGATTAGAGGTTCATGTTGTTATTCGTTTTGTTTTGACATGCCTTCAATCCTTATGTTATTCTTTGATATGGACGTTGTATTCCTGTAATTTACGTTACATAAAAAAGGACCCACATAGTCACACAAATATACGCCATCTGAATATATTATAGGTTGGTTAACTCATTCACCCCCTGAATTTCATAATGAACTATTCCAACCTTTGAATCGGAAGAGTTCAAATGTGTCTGCAGGGGTGAATGGGTTAAGTAACTGTCAAACTGCATTCAGAGACCACCTTCAGGAAGACTATGAAGTGGTCTCATATTGCGGATGGTCTCTCAATACAGGTTCAGATAAGCCTTGAATTAAAATAATTGGGAACATTGTAAGTGGTCTCTTATTGCAGGTGGTCTCTTAATACAGGTTCAATTTAATAATGAAAATAACTGCAGTGAGGAGTTTAAAAGTGGTGTCTGAGTACAGGTGGTCTCTTGAGCAGGTTTGAGTGTGTGCTGTAATATCGTTCTTGGCTAACCTGGAGATACGTTGTATAAAGAAGATCTTACAGGAATGTTAAGTGTAAAAGGTTCAATGAAGATGTTATATATAGGTTATTTGCTCAGCAATGGATATACATTATCTTTTTCAGTGAAACAGAAATAATTGTCTTATCTATACAGGCCTATTACACCTTTTGCTAAATAATTATGTTGCTTGCAGTCTTCATAAGAAAGGCAGCCCTGCGATTTGTAAATTAGCCCCAACGTTGTTCAAAACAAAATCCGACATTTTCTAAA